CCATTAACGCCCTTTTCTCTTCCAGCCATGCGGTCTGCTCCTCTGCGGGGTTCAGGTAGGCACCGTCGAGGAGAAGCGTGGGGGGCTCTGTGGTTTGCAGATGTGTGAGGTCACCTCCCGTTTTTCCAGATCACCAAAAGAATTACAAAAAAACCATACGCCAGATGTACAGCCACATAAAGGAGCAAAACGCCCGGGTGGGCGATAATGTGAGCCTGAACGCCAGGTACTCGAGGCTGGTGATCGTCAACAAGCACCTGGACAAAGAGCAATGGAAGCACAGGTTTGTGGCCACGGGACAGAGGCACGCGGAGATCACGAAGGAGCAAGCAAACTCCTCCATCGCTGTTGATGACCTCTTCAAGCCCTGCCCCGATGGCTGGACCCCCAAGGTTGTCCTGCTCCTGGGAGCTGCGGGTGTGGGCAAGACCATGACAGCCTGGAAGATCATGCTGGACTGGGCCTCTGACAAGGCGTTTGCAGAGTTTGACTACGTCTTCTACATCCACTGCCGGGAGGGCAACCTCCTCACCAGCCAGGCCAGCATGGCCGATCTCATCACCCAGTGCTGTCCCGGCAGCTCTCTCTTGGTCGCCAAGATCATGAAGAAGCCAGAGAGGCTCCTGTTCGTGATCGATGGCTTCGACGAGCTCCCGTTTTCCTTCAACCAGCCTAAGACCGAGCTGTGCTCCCAGCTCTACGAAAAGAGTCCAGTGGAAATCACCCTGAGCAGCCTCCTCCACAGGAAGTTACTGCCTGAGAGCTCTCTGCTCATCACCATGAGGCCAGCTGCCCTGCAGAAACTGCAAAAGTGCTTGAAGGGTGAGCGCTACGCCGAAATCCTGGGCTTTTCAGAGGTGGAGAGGAAGGAGTATTTCTATAAGTTTTTTGAAAACACCGAGCAGGCCACCACCGCCTTCCAATTCGTCAGAGGCAATGAGCCGCTCTTCACCATGTGTCTGGTGCCCATCGTGTGCTGGATCGTCTGCACCGTCGTGAAGCAGCAGCTCAGCTGCACCAGCAGGCTCACCCGAAGCCTGAAGACGACAACGGGGGTCTACATCCTCTACCTTTCCTCCCTGCTCCACAATCTGAGCGACCGACTGAAGCCAGGCATGCCCAGGATGCTCAGGAGGCTGTGCTGCCTGGCAGCTGACGGCATTTGGAAGCAGAAGGTCCTCTTTGAGGAGAAGGAGGTGCAGGGCTATGCGTTGGACCAGAAAGAAGCCCTCTCACTCCTCCTCAATGAGCATCAGTTCCAGGAGGACTTTTGCATCAGCACCTACAGCTTCAGCCACCTCAGCTTCCAGGAGTTTTTTGCGGCGCTCTTCTACCTGCTGGAAGACGATGGGGAGTTGCAGAACCCCCCCAGCGGTCCCAGCAGGGATGTGAAGAAGCTGCTGGACAGCTACAGCTACTCCAAGAACTACTTCATGCTAACAGTGCGGTTCCTCTTCGGGCTCTTAAACGAAGAATGCAGGAGGAAGCTGGAGGAGCTGGGGCTTAAAATCGCACCAAGAATTAGGCAGGAATTAATGACATGGCTTCAAACCAGGCAGAAAACGCCCCTAGCTCTTCTGATGGAGCAGACAACAGTGATCCGCGAGCTGGAGGTCTGCCACTGTCTGTATGAGCTCCAGGATGAGCATTCTGTGATGACCGCCTTGGATTCTTTCAATGGGTTGTACCTACGAGGGCTCAACCTAAACCGCTTCGACCAGCTGGTCCTCTCCTTCAGTGTAAAAAACTTCCTCAAGCTGGAGTCTCTCGACCTGGGGCACTGTTCCTTTCTGTGGGATGACCCCGAGGACAATGTGAGCCCGCAGCCGGCCAAGCAGCCCTATCGGTGCGTAGGGTCCTGAGCTGCAAAGCAGGGAATCCCTATCCCTTAGAGTGCAAAAAAAGCTGTGATGACCCCATGGAGGAGCCTGCAGCAAGGCTGGTCCTTCCGCTGCTCCTGGCAGTTCAGCAAGGGGGTATGAGTCTGGCCTAGGGAGACAGCTGGCAGGCAAGAAGCAATATTGGAATGGGGATAGGAATAGGAATAGGAATAGGAATAGGAATAGGAATAGGAATAGGATCAGGAGGAGAGGAGAGGAGATACAATAGGAAATGAATAGGATTAGACAAGGATAGGATTAGACAAGGATAGGAATAGGAATAGGAATAGGAATAGGGATAGGGATAGGGATAGGGATAGGGATAGGGATAGGGATAGGAATAGAAATCTCGTCTTTGTTTCCAGGGGAAAACAGCAAGAGGAGGAGAAGCAGTCACCCATGCATCTGCTCTGTCAAGCCTTGGAAAAATCAGGCTGTAGCTTGAAGACATTAAGGTACGTTGCTTTTCTTTGCTGTGTGAAATGGGAAAACAACCAAACCCCAGCCGGCCTGGCCTGGTCTCCTCTCTGCACAGGGAGGATGACTGTGTGCTGCCCAGCTCACTGCACAGCAGGGACGGGCTCTTCTGCTTCTGAGATGCCAGCCTGGCTTGTGGCCATCAGCAGTGGCAGCCGTGTTAGAGAGGGGTTGGTCGGTGCATCCACACAGCAAGGCAAGCCCCGTGGCTCCTCTCTGCATCTCTCTTGCAGGTTTATCCAGTGCCAGCTCACGGCCGCTTGCTGCGGAGCTCTGGCCCCTGTTCTCAGCACAAACCCCAACCTGACGGAGCTGGTCCTGGATGGGAATGAAGAGCTGAGGGATGGCGGCGTGAAGCTGCTGTGCCAGGGGCTGAGGCACGGCGCCTGCCAGCTGCAGATCCTGCGGTATGGGGTGTCACCAGCTGCAGGAGGCTGCAGTGCCCCTTGTGTCTCCTCCTTGTGAGCCTGGAATAGGGAGTGAAAGAGAAAAAGAAACGGGAAAGGCCCATTTACTGATGCCAAATACAGCCCGAGGCATCGCAGACCTGCTTGTTGCAAGGGCCTAAACCTTACCATTGCCTTTTCCATCAGTATAATTTAGCTCCACCTTTTAAAATGAATGAAAAGACCCTGCAGCTGTGGGTCTTTTCAGGGGCAGGGCTGGCCACACACCATGCAGAAACATGGAATTGCAGAAAGCCTTCTACCCCACAGACCTTCTGGGGATGAACCACCACCTTGGTGGTGTCTGCATTTTCCCTGTCATTTTTTGGGAGGTGGGTGTTTCCATTTCCCCCTGGTATAGACTCAGCCTGGACAAAGAGATTTGAAAGAGAGAATCTCACTGCAACTTCAAAAGTGAGGTGGATTAGTCCATCCATTCAAGCAATATTAATTGTATGCCCTCAGACCTTTACTCTCCGCTTGAGCAGATGCTGTTGATTCTCCTTACAGAGAGAGTGCGTCAGAGTTTGAGGATTTGGGTTGTTTTGCACTCTGGAACACAGTTGAGATGCTCTCAGCATCACTGAGCCAAGGGATGTCAAACAGGGAAACTCAGCAGTGAACACCAGACATGGGCACGCCAGCTTTGGGAGAGGGTTGGGGAGAGGGCAGTGAGCTGCTCCCCTCCCGTTTCCAACACAGGGTCCCCAGAGCCACTGCAGGAGCCACCTCCATGCTCAGGCAGGGGACACTGGCCAGGTCTCCTCCGGCCTGGGATGGTGGCACCAAAGGCCGCAGTGTCCTCTCTCACCATCGCTCCCGCAGGTTGGGCTGCTGCAACCTGACAGCCACCGGATGCAAGGACCTCGCCACCATGCTGGGCAGCATGGCCAGCCTGGAGGATCTGGACCTGAGTGACAACCCCTTGGAGGACAGCGGCGTGTGGGAGCTGTGCAGGGCGCTGGCGAGACCCGGCTGCAATGTGAAAAAGCTCTGGTATGGGGTGTCGGGCTGGCAGGTCCTGCTCTGCTCCCAGTAGATGCCTTTCAGGTTGGATTGCAGACGGGTGTGTAGGATGCTGCTCTGCTTCACCTCACTCCCTCTGGTCCTCCCTAATTAAACAGCCCAGCCACATCGCTGTGCTCAAAAAGCAGAGGGTGCTTTTCAGAGAGAAGTGGCTGCAGGGAGTCAAACCCGACATCCCTTCCCTGCTCACTGTCCCCCGTGCAGGCTGTGGCAATGCCTTTCAGGTTGGATTGCAGACGGGTGTGTAGGATGCTGCTCTGCTTCACCTCACTCCCTCTGGTCCTCCCTAATTAAACAGCCCAGCCACATCGCTGTGCTCAAAAAGCAGAGGGTGCTTTTCAGAGAGAAGTGGCTGCAGGGAGTCAAACCCGACATCCCTTCCCTGCTCACTGTCCCCCGTGCAGGCTGTGGCAGTGCCGGCTGACGGAGGCGAGCTGCAGGGCTCTTGCTGAAGTGCTCCCTGTCAGCCCCAACCTGATGGAGCTGCACCTGGGGGACAACGATCTGGGGGATGGCGGAGTGTGGCAACTGAGCCAGGGTCTGCGGGATCCTGCCTGCCGGCTACAGACACTGAGGTGAGGGGGTCCTGGGGGCTCTGGGGGCTGGGAGGATGCTCTTGGCAGGGCTCACCTGCCTCTCACCTGTGCTCACCCCATGAGTGTCCTTATGGCCAGTCACCATCCCTCTCCAGGGCCATCTGGACATCTTCAGGTGGATGCCCTAGCTTTGGTAGGCAAGGTGCTGACAGCTTATAAATATAAATTATGTATTTATTAGCTAGATAAGATTATTTATTTTCATCCAGGTGCTTTTAAACCTGAGCTTTTTACCCACTTTTCCTCTATGAACAAGCCCCATATCACCCATCCCCTCCCTGCTCACAGCTCTTTTGAGCTCTGGTGGTGATGCTGAGCTCAGGGGAGGGTTGCAGTGCTCCTGTATTTCTGGGTGGGAGACATGCCCCTGGGTGGGTGATGT